ATTCGATACCAAAAATCATCCAAAAACAGGCGAGCCGCAGCCAGCGAAGATGCCTAACGTGGCCTGGCACGTTGCCTGCCACGTCGCCTTCGGGAACCCATAAAACAGTTGTTGCCCTCACTCCCAAGGCTCCAGTCCAGGGGAAGGCCGCCAGCCAGAATGCCTCGCCAAAAATCATCCAAGGCGAGCCGCAGCCAGCGAAAATGCCTAACGTGGCCTGGGGCGTTGCCTGGCACGTCGCCTTCGGGAACCCATATAAAACAGTTGTTGCCAGGGAAAGGCTGCAGCCAGAATGCCGAACGTTGCCTGGCACGGTCATGGCACGTTGCCAGAAGGCCGCCCACCCGCAGCGCAGGTCTCCAGTCCAGGGAATGTGGGGAAAGGCCTACCGGAGAGGCTTTGGAGTCCAGTCCAGCCAAAAGGGATGGTCCTGCGACAGGCAGGTCTTGCTGAGCAACTAGCCAAAAGCAAGTGGAGCCACTGTTTCACCCTGCGGTGTCCCACGCGCCGCCCTGCCTAGGCGTCAGCTAGGCAAGGGTTGGCGGATATACCTCTCGCGCTGCACAATCTGGTCAAAGTGTCGGTGGTATACCTCTTAGACCGAACGAAGTGAGTTAAGGGGGTGTGGGGGGGACCATTTCAGAGGGTGAACCCGGAGATTGCTGGGGGAGAGCGCTCCAAAGCGAGGGTCAGAAAAGCAGTCAAAATGGGGTCTGGTGATGCGAGTGATGCAATGGACGCCGAGTAGTGCATCATTAGCATCACGAAGGGCTGTGGAGGCTATTTGGACAATGGGCATTGAGCGCTGGAGTGGAGACAGGCACCCATGTACAGAGCAACCATCCTAGTCTCTAGTATACTATACTTATACCGTTTCCTCGGTCGAGCGGATGCTTCTCGCGGCGTCCACGTGCACCGAACGTTGTTCCGGCTTGGCTGCGCAGCTAGATAGATACAGAATAGATAGATAGATCGATAGATCATAGATAGATAGAAAGATAGATAGATAGATAGTGATAGATAGATACTGTAGAAAGCAAGTTGTGCCTTGGAAGAAGCAGGGCAGTCTTGGCCGAAACAGTGTCGTAGAGTGGCTGGCGCAGGAGTGTATCCACCAACCCTGGAAGTCCCATACCAATTTGAACGTGGTTGACTGAACTCCCTTTGCAATCCTTTTCAGCATGTGAGAGCTTTCGTGCTTCTCAAGCGGTAGATCTTTCTCAGGGCCTCCCTATAAATCATGATAATGTGTTGGTTCGTCACAGTGTCCAGGGGTCCTGCTTGAAAGGCTGGAGATTATCGAGGATATGTACAGTAGCGTTCTTGCTCCTAGTCGTAAGGCCAGGACCCCAAGTCCCGCCCTGGGTCCGAGTACTACAGCTCCGACTCCAGACAGGGCGCCTGGTAAGTCGGCGGGATATGATTTTCGAAAGAGAGCTCAAAGTTATTATGCGTGGTTTTTACGCGTCTCCGGATTCTTTCCTATGACAGCAGACCCCTACGCTTCGCTGTTGGGGAGTGATGATTGCTTCAAAGTGGAACTGCTCGGATGTATTGGGGCCAGTATGGTACTATCAGAAAAGGGACCCGTGTAGATAGCAACTTGGTGTGGGGTGAAGAGATTGCTGTTTGAGGATGGGTTGTAGTCATAGTTTTGGATGACGGTTGGTGACACCAATGCTGAGGCATATAGTTCCTGCCATCCTCCTAGTCATTCTCCCAGGGAAGTCTGGTGTATTGGGGCAAGAATAGTAGTTGGTTGGCAGTGACAAGTTGCTATCAGAAAAGGGGCCCGTGCAGATAGCAACTTCGTGGGGTGAAGAGAATACCAGCTCCACGAAACTACAAGCTTTCAACTATAGGTGCTCTGCTATTATTTCCTCCCAGCCCTGCTCTCCATAGGGCTTCGCATTGATGCGCGATACCCGAAACACATTTCAACGCAACCACAAAAACCATGTCGGGCATCATTCTCCTGGTGTTCACTGACGTTTATTTTTGCACGGATTCTCAAATAGAACACCAACAAGGAGGGACGCTCCAGAAGGCGCCGCGCCAAGCAAATCAAGAATACTAAAAACATTCAACACTTCATGCTGTGCTCCGATCTTCATCTACGTCGCAGTAATACCAGCTCCACGAAAACTACAACCATTCAAGAATGCGTGCTCTTTGCTCTCCTCTTTTTTTCTCCCAGCCCTGCTCTTTATGGGGCTTCGCATTGATGCACGATGCCCGAAACACATTTCAAAACAACAAAAAACCACCTTTCGGTCATCCTTCTCCTGGTCTTCATTGACGTTTATTTCTACACGGAAATCGAGAAAACTTAAAACATTCAACACTTCATGCTGTGCTCCGATCTTCATTCAACACTAAGTGCTCCGCTATTTTTCCTCCCAGTCTTGCACTACCATATTGGTCTCTCGCTGGCTTTCGTCCTCTCCTTTCTCAGGTATACTTAATATAATGCACACATATCAGGAGCTTGCACGATTCCGTGAGCTGGGCAGCAGAATAGGAGAGGCTGGTCAGGGCAGCTTCCTCATCAGACATATTGGCACTACTTTGTTGACACAGGATGGAAAGGAATCAAACTCGATAGACCGTGAATGCGATCCTGCGATCCTGCGATCCCGGATCCCTGTGTTTGTGGAGGCTTCAATGATGCTCTCGCTGGCGGAGATCAACACGGCCTGACATGGGGGCATGCATGCCAACTCTAGGATTAGGTCTAGTCTAGGTGCCACTTAAATTACGGTTTTCACTTGTGAGCAGTAATATCTAGTTGGGCTGCCTTTGTGCGCCCAAGAAACGTTTTCTTTTTTCTGACGAGTGAACTGAAGAGGTACAGGATGGTATAGGCATCCAGCAACTTCATCAAATTTCAACAGCTAAAGGAACAAAGGGTGGTGATGGAACCACACTTCCCAGAATCCGTGACTTGCTTCCTTCAGAAACCCCAACCAGGACCGCCGCGGTACGCGAAAGAGGGAGGCGCGACTTTACAATTTGCACAGTCAGAGTTCATTGGTATTTGCAATGGATTTACAATTTTTTGATGAGTTTTCAGCGTCCTTCAATTCGGCTTGGAAAGGAATACAAACTCTCTTTTGTGCAATGATTGCAAGCCCAAGGTGCAGAATCACTGCATATGCTCCAAATCTACTGGCTGGGGTAGGTCCAGAATCACTGTATGTTCCGAATTTTCCTTAATTGATCTCTCAAGTTGTGTCCATGTCCATGTGCTTCACGGCTTCACATGGGGCCTGAAGAAAGTTTAACAACTCAAGAATACACTGTGATTCTGCACCTAACGTAGGCTCACAATCACTACAGCTCAGATGTAATTGATTTCTTGAGGCCCCAAGCGAAACTCATGACTTGGACATCTGATAGAATTAATACATTTGAGCATAGCAGGGATTCTGCATCTACCCCACTGAGTAGGGAGGCCACGGTTTGCACGAATAAGACACGGATTTTTTGTGAAACGTTTGCTGTCGAGAAGGCGCTTAAAGTCGATATAGTTTTGACTTTGAGAAAGGATGGAATCTCATAACCCAAGCTTGTGTATCTCTCTATATATATATAACAAGGCTTCAAGAAGGTCTATGAAGTAGCTGACCTTTCAGAAGAACTGTTTGAACCCAAGATGTTCTTTATTTGCTCTTATTTTAATCACGCAAATACCATATATTGTGTGTGCAATGCAATATTTATATAACTACTATACAATTATAGATGTATTATTCCCAAACACACGCAACATTTGACAATTTGATGACTTTATATAATGACTTTTTGACAGGAATCCTTGCAAATGGGCCTGCAAGCTCTTGAGATCTTCAAGGAGGCCAGAAGAACAACTCTCTGGTGGATTTGTGTTCTGCTTGTGTTTCTTTTTTTTTCCCCCCTTGGATCCCCTTGGAAGACCTAATTGGCCTTTTCCAGTGCCTATTTGGTTTCCAGAGTTTAGGTTCCAGGTTCATGCAGCTCGCCCTTCACGCATGATGTGTGTGGCAGTTGGACAACAAGCGGCTACAAGTGTCAGCACTGCCATGGGCTGAGATTGTAGTGCCTCGGGGTTGAGCGTCCATACGCTGGCGTTTGCTTGTGATTCGGTTTGAGCGTAGGATTCGAAGCCCTTCCTGAAATGTAGAATGGAGACTGTTCTGTTGGGGGTGAGCGACTTTTAAGACATTATATTTTGTCAAACCATTTTTGTTCGATCTTCTGAATCGGTTTTGAAAAAGGCACTGCTTCTCAAAACTGTGCCACTTCAAGCATCTAAGGCAGCACTTGTCCAATGTGCACATCAAATTCTGCGACAAGGGCTGCGCTGGCAAAAGCGGTAGAGAGGACAGGGCTCCTTTGCCTTGCCTTTTTCATACACATGTTTGAAAAGAACAGCGCTCACAGAGCTCTGAAACTTGGTGTGTATCTGTGTGCGCGTGTGACAACCATTTCATTGGAAGGAGAACGCACATCACACAGCCTATAGCTCGCTATACCTCTTTAATCGCACTGCTGGTTAGGTTTTGTATGCTTTTATCCATTGATGCCCTTTCCATCCCTTTCCCATATTTTGTATTCTGTTGTGAACTGCTGCCTTATCATTGCACACCACCGGCAGGCCACTAAATATGCTCAAGAAGCCTTGGCGCTGGCCAGGTCACTCCAGGCCGATCAAAAGCAAAGCCCCTTAGGAGATTGAATGATTGATCCAAGTCAAAGTATTACTTATGCTTGCTGTATAAGGCTGGATTTGATAGTCGTGCTGCGTCTTGATCACCAGTGTTCAACGACAACGAAGTTCAACTGTTTGCAGAATGCTCCATGGCCAAGTCTTCAGGGTGACCCGGTGCAAGACAAGCTCTACGAAGCCTCAGCGCTTCACAATGTGGCTGTTGGGAAGTGGCATCTTGGCCATGAGCCAGTTAATTGCGCACTGAAAGGCGCCTCTAGTTACTCCAGTTTTGGCCTGTTGTTAGAGTTGTGGATTTTAAGTGGCGTTTTTGCTTTGCAATCTTTCTTGAAGCTGTCCATTTGGACAGCGTCTCATCGACACTGCATGGACCTCATTGGTTTGCTGCAGATTGCGACCTAAACCAGTCCCTCTTAGACTCTTGACCGAGGTACAGCGAGTGCCCCTTTAAGGACCTTTCAACGGGCCAAAAAGCTTTGAAGCAAATGGATTCACAATTGAAGTTTGTGAATGCTATTGGTTGGACATGGCAGCGCGGCGCAATTTGCAGGATGGCCTAAAGGCGGCCAAAGAAGCCCTAGCAATCTTCCGACAGTTGGGCCTGAAGAAGTTTCAGGCTCGTCACAGTCCAGGTTCATCCAAGTTCGCATGCCTCAAGACGAAGGGCTCCAACTGCAATTGAACATAATTGAGGATTGAAATTGCTCACCGCTTGTTGCATTCTTATGTGCAGACGTCACACTCTGCCCCGGGCCGATATTTTGGGCCTGAATAATGCGGTCACATTCAACCCGTTCAGATGCCGCTTGTGTTGGAGGCTGCACAGCTGCATTCCATAGCAGACTGGCATCAAAGACGAGGCAGGCTGACAGAATACTGACATCAGGTTTGCGAGTTGGTTTGATCAAGCGTGTTCAATATTTTTTTTCCGACAATACCATACATTACCATTGTTTGCTTCTTTGATGTGCATGTTTGCATTCCGGATGCAATCCTTGAGAAGACTACACTGGGATATATAGCTGTGCACACCGGAAAGTGGCACGGACCAAATCTACTACAGATACTAGAGCACTGTGATCACTGATGACCGGAAAGTACAGTTGTTATCCATTTTATTGGTTGCAGGCATTGGAAAGCAGGGCCTTCCATATGCGGAGGTGCGCTGTGCGAGTGATCAGTCTCTATATGTCTCTATAATGTTGGAAGCTGTCGACAGCCATCCAATGGCTTTGAATCTTGCAGCAAATAGAGACACCGCACACAGGTGGACTGGTGAACTCTTTGATGTTCCTACTGCATTTTGCCTTCTACTTCATTGTCACATGTTGTGACCTTTTCCTGGAACGTGCACAACAAACAATCTTCTCGACAAGCTTTTCTGACTTGGCAGCAGCACTTGGAGAGGAGTCCTTGCAGATCTTCCAAGACATTGAGTCAGGGAAGGCCGAGCTATTCATATCTGAGACTTGCGAGACGACTCTTGGAGCAATGCTCCACCCGCAGCGCTTCGACGAGGGGAGAGGGGTTTCAGCCCTGTATTTAATCGGTAGCTTGATGTCTCGCACAGGGATGGGAATCCGCTGCACTTTGTACGCCAGTGCCCCAGGAAGGGCAACGGGCAACTCAACAACTTGTCTGGAGGATGCTTGAGGTCATAACCATAAGGCCAGCGGCTGGGAACAAACATAGTTAACTCTGCGTTGCTGAGGGTGGTGTCAGCTCTGATGGACAAGGCAGGGTAGACAAGACATTGGCGTCTTGGAGCTCGGAGGGAGGTTTGCTGAATTTCTCATTCACATGGTGAGGGTTGCAGTAGAATTGATAATTGCAAATTACCGAATTGATTTGTCAATACAACAGCCCCTCCCCACTTTGCGTGATAGAATCAATTGGTCCCCGCAATTAACGTGGTATTGATTTAGTGCGGGGCATCCCCTCCCTCCCCCTTAAGAACAGACGCATCGCAAGCATCATCTTGAGTGATTAGAACCATCTTAACGAAGCAATGGTTGTTCCAGATTAGAGTTTGAGCATTTCCACGCAAGTCTTATTGGTGACACTAGCGCTGAAGCATGAGAGAGTGCACCATCGCTTGCATTGGTGGTCATTCGCTTCCGGCTGGTGGAATGGTCAAAGTATGTCAAAGTATTCTTTGGCATTCCTTCCCATTCTCAAAATTGTAGTGGGCCAGCTCAAAAGAGGCCCTTTTTCTACCTTGTTCTGTGTAGCTGCGTGTCTCCAGGACGATACTGCAGGTGCCCTAAAAGTGGCGCAAGAGGGGTCCGTTTCCAAGAGAGAGCGAACGAGGAGAGACAGCGATTCCGGCAACATGGCAACAAGGCACTGCATTGTCAATGTTGTTGTTGTTGTTGTCGTTGTTGTTCTTCAGGCAAACACATGCAAACACAAACATGTTTCAATTTCTGAAGAAGTGGTGCCTGAGGGTGGAAAAGTTCAGACAGAAAGGGGACAAGCAGGCGGAGGCCCGGCTGTGCTGGGGATAACATGGCATCCTGCGGAGCACATTGTAGATGAACGAACGGTGATACCAGGCGCTTCTTCAAACGAAGGACATCGGAAAAAACCCCGGTTCAGCATGTAAAAAAATGGTCGCAGCGAGTGAGAATTTGCAGAAGGCTTGGAAAATGAAGAAGGACACCCAAATTGAAGCCTTTTTTCTGGGACTCCTTTTTCATTGTCTTGTCTTTAAAGAAAGTTGCGTTAGTAGACACTGGACTCCTGGACCAAGTGCCCTGGACAAGAGATTGGAACCAGTATAGTGCTGGGCACTGATGTGGTGCTTTGCTTTACATTGAAGACACACATCATAGTCCCCTGACTGGTGTAAACAATTGGATAACAAAGCCGGAAGCGCAGAAGCCTCAGTAGACAAGGCCACATTTTGTACACTCATTTTCCCGGTTGGGCAAATGAAGCAGGTTATATAACCAGTTATATAACCTATGTTCACCCTCTCATCAGCTGCAAGTTTCGGCCAATGTTTTATGTTTTGCCAGGCCAGAATGTTTTGTCGATGCGACCCGATGTGTGACGACACTCTGTGGCGAACATGTCACATCCAACCACTGTGCGGATGTGATGGTTTGTCTTCTTCCAACCATCGACACACATGCGAAACACCAAGCGCTTGTTACTGCTCGCAGAGGCACACAACACCGACGCGTCGTGTTGATCCTACAAGCACCACTAGAAAGGGACAGGACCAAGGGCAGTCTAGTCTAGTTTTCACTCAACACCAAAAACAGTTTCAAAGCACCTTGTCGTTACCACCTTCCGCTACTGTATAGGGATTCTGGTGCAGTGTACTGCTGTGATTTTTGACGTGAAGCGAACATCAGTGATGTAGTGATTAAAGTGTTGTTTGGTGATGTTTCATGCTTTCTTGTTCACATGGAATCACAAACCATCTCTGCTTTGTAGAAATCTCTACTCTTTCCGGCTTTCCTCTACAAATATCAACTGATGATTTCCGCATTTTTCTGGCACAGAATCTTACTCGCCTCTTTCAATCTTTTCAGACGTCTGTACCGTTTGGTTGCCTTTCCAAGACCGCTTGACACAGCCCTGACAGTTGCACCGCCTGGCATGACGCTCACCGTTATTTCTCTACAGATCTCTACCTCATGCATATTGACAGTCCATTGTACAAAGGTCAGTTTCAGCCCCCAGTAGCACGGCCTGCGCATTAGCCAATGCACCCTTTCAGTCCCCATAGAACTACGATATCAACAAAACCAATGGCATCCCTAAAGCGCTCCTGCCAAGCAGCCGAATCTGAACCAGAACCTGTCCTGCAACCACCGCACACTAGTCCCAAGATTGTCCTGCCCAGCAAGTGCTTCAAAGGTACTCTCGATGAGCTCTTGCACACATGTTCCCCACAAAGACAGGGCTTTGAGCGTCCTCTCACTTTTCAGATGCGCATCCTTGTAGGTAGGCACCACTTTCCTGTTTTCCCTACCGGCGAATACGGCCTTCGGACAGCGTGGGGAGTTGCCTTGCTTGTTGTGGCCCGAATGTCCTCGTTTTCCAACCTCCTGTAATTGAACGTTGAAATTGAAAGTCACAACAGCACCACTTTTCTGAGGCCCAGGCCCTCGACTTGTTGGCTGGTGTCTATTTGGCCAGCAACGAGAAAGATGAGGCGTGCCAACCTGGTAAACAGAGGTATTCTCCTGCATCTTCCTGCCCATGAAGCATCCGTTGCCAAGGCTCTCAAGTTGGCTGAGGAGTCGTTGGCACTTTTCAGAGAGGCAGGGCTTCGAGGGCAGTTTTGTGAATCGCATTGTGCCTTGTGCAGACAGCCCTTGACAAATCAAATCCTCGTCCCCTGCTCAAACCCAATGAAACTTTCAACTTCGAACTGTACTTCTAGCCCAATCAGCGGCAGGTGGGTGACAAGCGTGCAGAATCCTATGTTCTTCACACGGTCTCTCAGGCAGACGGAAGCAACTCCAGATGTGCAACTGCAGTTTTCTCGATATGTATATATATATATAGACTGAATTTGTTTATCTAAGACCCTCCGCGGCTGTGCCTCTATAAAACAAGGAACTTTGGGGCCTTCATAACTTTGCCTTTTTTAACAACCATTTATGGAGAATGCTTTGCGCTTAGAATTCGTGGTCACTTCAGGTGTTTGCTGTCATTTCCTTTCTACGATGTCCTTGGCAACAGTGTTTTCTGAAAGGGCACACACACACAAATTAAGGGCATCCGCCTGATGTCTAGACTATACAGTACTTTCATATAAATTGAGCAAGCATCAGAAGTGCATTGCAGTAAACCCCACTCCACATCGTTCAACTCCCGGATTGAACTCACAGGCATCCAACTGGCTCTCCTTTTTTTGACAAACTTCAAGTCAGAGAGGGTGAGGCAGCAATGTGGTTTTATCAGAACAGTTTGCGTATCCAAGCGACAGCCGCGGAAACAAAGCAAAGGACGAGTTCCAAAGTGCCACTTTGGTCGAGATTCAAAGGAAGAAAGGACGAAGCTGCGAGGTACCAAGGAATGACAAGCCGAGCCAAGCCGAGCAACTGGGAGCCACGCTGAGTTGACGAGCCGAAAAACACTTCAGCGCCATGTGGGAAAGAGATAGACAATGCTCAGCAGGACCTCAAAGACCTGAACAGCCCATGCCCGGCACAGCCAAGAGATGCTGAGATGCAAGAACCATAGACTAGAGCCGACTACTTCGTGGATGAAGTCCTTTGCATCAACTAGAATGGTCAGTCAGGTGCCAGACAGAATGGACAGTGCTTTAGCCAGAGGCACATACTATGTAAACCATGCCACATGCATCCTCAAGTGCACCCATAATTAGGCAAATGGGATGCAACCTAGCAATGCAGGACTTGAGGGGTTGTAGCACAGTAGATGGGCCAAAGTTCATTTGGTTCGCATTGGATTCCTCTAGCTGCTAGCTTGTGTCTCTGGCTGGCAGATCTTGTATGATTTGCGGAGGTGTCTTTCACGCATATACATATATATATATATATAATGCACACCTAGCTTTGACAAGCTCGAGAGGTCCAGGCAAAGTCAGAGAACCATGAGGAGGCGGTCAAGCTTGTGGAAGCCTTGGATCTTCCAGCACCAACCCACTTTGCTCGGACAAGCCGTTTCGTTTCCAGGGTATGCCTACTGCTGTGCAAGAATTTCCACGTCAAGATTTGGATCTAGCCCATGCAAAGACAGTTTTTAGCAGAGCCGTTTGGAAGAGCATGGTCAGCATAGCTCATCGAACTCTCAACTTCTTGCGATATACAGGTGTCTCTTCTGGACTGGCTCTCCTGGGCCTGTGGACACTCAAATTAAAAGCCCTCACTGTGTCACTGGTTCATCCAGCTAGCTCAATTCAACACTTTGTTCAGCCTCACCGACTGTCATGCATTTGCCAAATTGGTCCAGGGAGGTCCGAATAGTTCTCGTGGGGTGGTTGGCCAGTTCACCAGCAGCAAATTTCAGGCCTCTTTTGGGCAGGTGATTTCTTGGAAGACCCATGAGCAGACAGACAATGAGCCTGTGCGGAATCCCTCATTGATTCGGTTTATTTCATACAACTATATAGTAGCGTCCTTGCTCCTAGTAGAAATGCCCTTGGCCCTTTGTTACTAGTAGCTTCTAGTTAGTATATAGTAAGGCCAAGAGCTACTAGTAGCGTCCTTGCTCCTAGTCAATCCGACATCCTAGGTGAAGGAGTCTCTGGTTTTGGCTGGTGAGCTGGGTGACACTCGTGAGCAGGCGCGGAGATTGCCAACTGACCGCACGGCAAACCAAACAAATACTGATGGCCTTCTTGGGATAAATCACGAAAGGTAGCTTCAGCTACCTGAGTCTTCCTTGCTTAGCACGAATGCATTTACAATCTGACAATCTGGAGTTGGGATTGTGCATTGAGTTTGGCCCTGCAAGGAAGGATTCTTCATCATGGGGGGGGCCCCCTGGATCAAATCCTCCCTGCTGCACCTCATCGGTTAACGGTTCGTTGGCCACAGGAACGTGGAATTTTGGGGGGTGCCTTTGGGCCTTGCCTGCTACCTTCAAGTTCACCCCCTCCTCTCTCAAGTTTGACAGGGTCACTGATATGACACGACTTTGTCATTGTCATCACGATTCAAGGAGCAATATTCCCTGTTCAACAAGGCAAAATGCCTGGCTCAGCTTTGCCGCATGCACCTTTTGGCAAGAGAGCCGCGAACCAAGCACTGAGGTTGATTTCTGCGGGATACTGTTCTTGAACAAAGAAACAAAAGAGCACATGCAATGCTGCGATGCTGCGTAGGATATCAGGTCTCAGATTCAGATGCGGATTGGTCTTCAATATTTGTGTGTGTCCACTTTTGCCATATTTAAAAATTATTGATGTGTCCACTTTTGCCATCTGGAAAGCTCAGCACAGAGGTTGTGAACCAAAGTTGTCCGACGACCTGCTTTTTACATGTACTGTACATATATACACAAACAATTTTTTTGAGCAGAAAGCAACACTAGAGTTTGGAATAGTTTGGAAACGTGAAGAAACAGGTCCCTGAAACTGTAGAGATCCTTCCACAATCTCAGAAAAGGGCAGGAAGCTGATTTAAAAGTCTTGCAGTTGAAAGCACTGACGTTGGCTGCAAATTCGAGCAAGACACCAAGCGAATTCGAGCAAGCGCTGGTTGCTGCAAAGCACCCAAATCCATGCCATGTAAAGGTGCAGATCGTTGGAATGAGTGCAGGTAGGCGGGTAGCAGTGTAGGCTAGCGGCTAGTCATCGCTTCACAGCTGCAACCCGCTTTGGCCCACAAGGTTTTTCCATTTACTGTATTTATATTTTTGGAAAAACCATATCTTCAATATACTTCTAGATTCCAAAAGTTGGTTTTCCCCAATAGCTTTCTGACCGTAGTCAGCAGTGACCCCTGGATGTCTCAAGTCGTTGCTTGCACTCTCCTAGGTACAAAGAAGCCATCGAGCTGGCTCCCCAGAGCACAAGCCAAATGGCTGCAGCTTCCTTGAGCTGATCCTTTCTGCAATGCCTCAGGGGCATTATAAACCTTCTTTGTTGTCACCTTTATTACATGCTGTACCAACCCAAACATGATAACAAAGGAATCTGACTGTCTCTTGACTTTGACTTCCAGAAGCTCCGAAAGCTCTCAGGTTCGCTGAGGAAGCCCAGGTGGTCTTCCAAAAGAGCCAAGATAAGTGTGGCGAGGTGCCAGAGAGCAACTGGGATCTATTGTGTGGAAAGCAGAGTCATGAAGAATGTCAGAGACAGGAAGTGGATAGATGAACCGGACTCCATAGAGGGATGTTGAACCGGAGTGGTTGAAGGTTTTGAACTGCGATTGCATACCCTGTGCAGTGAGCTTGCGTACCAGGGAGTAACGCTCCTGAACAAAGCCTCTGCTCACATGGGCATGGGAGAGATCGAGATCGTGGACTCCTCAATCGTGCTGCCACCATTAGTCACTAAAGTTAATTCTGTCAAAGTTCTTCGACTGCTGACCTGTGTTGAGGCTTTGCAGGTGGCGGAGGATGCCAATGCGATGTTCATCCAGGACTCCAAATTCATAAGGGCGATGCATTGGTATGACATGGTATGACCGTATGACCCGCCCAAGAGTCATTCACAATCAGGAGGAGGACAAAAGGCAGGAGGCAACTGCACACCACTTTTTGTACGAGATCCACACGTGCTTTGTTTGCAATGGGGCAGCCAATGGATTGTCAAACCCAAAGCTGGAAGACTTGATTGGCCTGCACATTGCCTTGATAGCCAAGGCAGGCAGGCAACTACGAGGCAGATTGGCAAGGGTGAATTGGTGAAGAGAACAAACAGAACAGGATTTGTTTCCCTTTTACGTTGGTGAAAGTTGAACATCGGCAGAAGGTGGAAATTGTCATTGCTTTGCAAGAAAAAAGTAGAGTAGCAGAAAAGGTGTCAATGATCAACTCTGATTGCATACGGGCTATTCTTGGCGGCGAACTAATCAACCCCCCAAACTTACAGTAGTGACTTAGTAGTACATGCAAATTCCATGCAGTCGTTACTGGGATCATAACATCCATTGCCAGAAAAAACACGAGCAAAGAATAGCAGGAAGGCCGGCAGGGAGTCAGCCAAGAAGAAAGGAAGGAAGGAGGCAAGGCAAGAGATCCAGGACGCAAGAAAAACAGAACAAACCAGCGTGTGCCAGCCTGCTTGCAGTGAGAGTGTTTGAGGCCCATGCTACTGGAAGTGGACAGCTTTTGTGCTGCTTGAAAAATTCAACACGGATCACCACAGATCCACACCGAGCGCATTTTGGTGTTTGTGTCCCCTGCCGCAATAGATCTTGGGCAGCCTACACATAACAAGGGTCATCTACAGGTATGCAAAGCCTACCTCGGTGGGTGAGAATGTCCCACCACAAAAAAACTAGTGTATATAGAGGATCAAAGGACCGCTGAAGGATAAGTTTCAAATTCCTGCGTTGAATGGCTACTCAAGCGTGCTTGAGATACAGTCGTCTTGGCTGCAAGGCTATCCAGGTTTTTTGCTTTGTTGCCTCAGTATCGATGTGCCCGGATGGTCTTGATGTGTGAAGTGCTCTGGTAAAGGAAAGACAAATCAGCAAGAGACATGAAGACACAGACTGCCGACTGCAGGGCCAGGTAGGAGGCCTGAGGTTATTCCAAAGGCCAAAGTCCAGAGACCCCCCAAATGATGCCCACCGGACTTTTGCTTCAAGCATATCGGGCTTTATATTGCCCATTATCGCCCCAATGTCTTGCATGATATTGCTCAATTTCATTCAATTTCGATAATTCCCTTCTATCCATTGGTGTATTGTCGGTTGTACTGATCCCAATCCTGCGTTTCAACCAAGCAGTTTTGGAGGGGGGCGGTTTATGCTTGAAGGCCATAGAAATGAGAAGCTGAACAGTTTTTTGCAAGGCGGCTCTTCGAGAAGCCATCATGGCCAGGAGATTGGTTGAGCACCAAATCTAGGCACAGGAGTTGATGGAATGGAATACTGATAGCACAAGGTTGGGCAATCTTTCCCTGTACCTTTTTACATGCTTCTGCGTTTGCTGCAGAAAGCGTTGGCCATGCAGGTGTTTAGTTTAGGGTTGAATGACATCTTGCACATGTTGACACATGCTTTGTCACTCCGGGCATGAGTCTGGCAGGACTATGTTCCACAAGCTGGGTGATCAGCGAGAGGAGGCGGGAACGAGCCTCTTTATTCTTTCCGCAATGGCATGTCGTGAAAACACATGGAGTCATGGAGTGGCTGGGATGCTACTAGTAACAAGTGCATTACTAGTAGCAAATAGCTACTAGTAGCGTCTAGTTACTAGGGGTAATGCCCTTGTTACTAGTAGCGACGCCCTTGTATTACCTTACATCAAGGCGCTTGTGAAGAATGCAATGTGACTGATCGAATGACGGTCAGAGGTACTGTGCATAGCAGGCCGGAAGGTAGGGACGACAAAGTAAGATGACGGGAGCTCGTCATGAGGCCTCGATGTGCCTGCGGGTATCCTGTGCGCATATCCAGGTTCAGCTCTCAGGCATGCGAAACACGTCCAAAAAGGGAGAGCAGTTTTTTTTTTTTTTAAACTATAAACAGACGCTATTAGGTTGGAGGCCATTGTTCTCTTTGCGTATCCCCATGACGCTCCCCAAATCTATTTCTCCAGGACTTGTTCAACTCAGCAACAGAGCAGTTAAGGTGATGCTGACCTAAGCAACCCGCATCGTGTCTCAATGCAACTCAAAGCTTGAGGCCAACCATCCAGGCAGACTAGAACCCTGTTTCTAACACCTGGCACTCGTTCCTATTTTTTTGATTAGGGATTTGTATTGGTGGGACTGAGGTGCTGAACAATAGCCGCAATTTGGGCCGAAGAGAGACAAAGAAAGGCGGGGCAACATTGTAAACAGCAAAGCACCGGAAAGTTTTGTTTTTTGATCATCGGAGTTGTGACCAGCTGGGCCCTCGTAGTTCGCAAACAGCTGCAAAGCACGCCGTGACGGCACCAGTCAGCAAAGTCCGCAGTGCGTGAGACAGCATGCGCCTGGAGAATACCTAGGGTAAAGTCATACGTGCCATGAGTCACGAGGCTGAACCGTTTGTGAATTCACGAAGCACTGTAAGAGTCACTCCTCAAAATATCATGTTAGCAGCTAGCAAAGAAAGATGGAAGCACACCATCAGGCAAGCGTGGCAAAGAAGTTGTAGACCTTAATTAGCGGCCAGAGATTGGAACACCTAATTTCCCAAACAGCCTGCACGGTGGCACACAGCCGAGTCAGCAGCGAGAGAACATTTCCCAAAGTTATGGGAGCATTGCCCGAAGCACTGAAAGGTACCGAATTACTTGAAACATACGGGACGAATGGGGATGTTGCCGGAAGAATTACTGGCCACCCAAGATTGAGAATCCTTCAGGTTCACCTGAGCGCATCGTTGCCTAAGTTTAGAAAGCAGGATAATTATTAACTTTACCGCCTTTGCGTCTCTTCTCCCCAAAGCTAGAAACCCTACCTGCTACTGCTACCTGAAGTTTCGTATCTTTGAAGGGAGATAGGCAGCCTGTTATTGAAATACAGCAAGAGACAAACATTCTTGCATACTGTTGGATACGAGTTTTGAATGCCTTGTGTTCGCCTCTAAGCGTGCCGTGCCACACAACCGCTTCCACGCCAACAACCCCTTCTTGTATTTGTGAACATGCAAACCTCCGCAACTTGTTCTGCGGAACGACAGCAGTGCACAATGAATAGTTAAATTTGTTCCCATTCCGTTGCAAGCCTGCGGAAATGCAGCATACGCCCCCTCAGCCATGCCTGATACACTCGTGCAGGTTGCGATGGTGCATTGAAAGCAGCTAAGGAAGCAGCTTGAAGCCTCAGCAGAATCGAGCATAGTGAACGAGTGTTCATGACAGCTGGCAAAACAATTGCAGTCTCTAACCCAGAAAATCCAACATCATGGTTGACCAAGCACTAGCAAGCCCGCACAGCTTTTCAGGTCGCCATTGCCAAGAAGTTTGAAAGGGACTGCCTCCTGGTTTTGGTGTGTGTGTGTGAAGGGGTTTTCAGTAAGGATGTTGCTAGCCGAGCTTTGCTCGTGTTATGTTGGATGATCATGTTCCGCAGGAAAAGGCATTCCTGGCAAACGCCTACAGCATGATGGGCCAATGTCAGGGTATGGTTGGAAAGATGAAGGACAAACACCGGGGCCCACACTGCAGGTGCATGAAGAAGAAATCGCCAAAGCTTTTCATGACTAAGTTTCAGCAAACCTTAGAGAAAACCCTTTGGGGGCTGCTGGCGATGCTTCCTGACGCTGTGCTGCCTCATTCTACCAACTCTGCTAGCTGCTATTTGTTGACCAGACTACACATCAAATGGTGGTTAGTTTTCTTTTTCAGCAAGGGCCTTTGTGCAGCCAAACCAGCTTTGTTACCATAAAATCGATTCCTATGCAGGAGGGGCTGAAGTCGGCCAACGAGGCACTGAGGATTTCTGAGGAGAGCAGCGACAGACGTGGTCAGGTGGGATGCCGACATCATCAGAGTCACACTGTCCCTTTCTGACGATATGTGACATGCTCAATCCAGAGACACCCCACACAGCAAGTGTGCCCATGCGTTGGATGAACATCCTACATCACACCAACTATTCAACAGACTCAAATACTGTATTTCCATATATATATAATATTGTATATAATATGAATATTATCATGACATAATATGAACATTATCATTATATATATATATAATCTTATAATATGAATATTATCATGTTAATTGTTTTGAGCTGGTCTTGTTCAAAAGGCATAAGGCCAGGCAGAAGCAGAGATGGTTTGTTTTTTTGCTATATAGTGCTGGACTGGGTGCTGCTGTTGCCTCACTGCCGCTGCGTCTATTGTGAAAGCTGGTTGTTCTTGTTGTTGTTGTTGTTGCTGTTGGTAGAAACAAAAGCAGCTGCCCAACATAGTTGTCACATGTTGTAACTCTGGAACTTTAAGGGGGCAAGGTTAGGGATACGGTTGAAGGTTTGAGGACATGTTGGTTTCGTAAGTAGCTGGACTTGTTGGACTTGCTGGGCTGGTCCTTTTTAGTGTTTTTGAGGTGTTGTTCTGGAGGGGGTGCCAAAAAACAACAACGGGGCTGCAGTCTTTGTTTCTAGGAGGAGGTAGAGACAACAACGCCTTTTGAGGGGAGGGGTCAAAAACAACAATAGGGCTGCAGTTTTTGTTTCTAGGATGGGGTAGAGGTTCTAAGTGGAAGTTTTACAGGGCTTTATTTGACTACCTACCTACCTACCTACCTGCCTGCCTGCCTGCCTGCCTACCTGTCTACCTACCTACTACTACTTCTACTTCTGCTTGTACATCTACTTGCACTTTTACTTCTACTACTTGTACTGCTACTCCTTCTTCTACTATTACTACTACCACTACTACTACCCCTTCCAATACTACTACTACTACCACCACCACTACTACTGCTACTACTACGACTACTGCCAATAGGACGACGACGACTACTACTACTACCACTATTACTATTACTATTACCACTACTACTACTACTACTACTACTACTACCCCTACTACTAGGGCTTGTGCTGGTGCCAGTTCTAGTGGTGGTATTTGTCGTAGTGGTAGAGTAGCAGTAGTAGGTAGCAGTAGTAGTGGGTAGCAGTCATTGTAGTAATAGTAGTAGTAGTAGTCGTCGTCGTCGTAGTTGTCGAAGTAGTAGTAGTAGGAGTAGTAGTAGTAGGAGTAGGAGTAGGAGTAGCAGTACTAGTAGTAGTGGTGGTGGTGGTAGTAGTAGTAGTAGCAGATATGTTGTAGCGGGGTTGCAGTATTGTTTGTACCTTGTCGCTGTCGTTGTTGTCGCCGTCGTCGTCGTTGTGCTTGTGGTTGTGGTTGTGGTTGCGGTTGTTGTTGTTGTTGTTGTTGTTGTTGTTGCTGCTACGGGTGGGTGGGCGGGCGGGCGGTGGGGCGGGTGGGTGGGTGCGTGGGTGCGTGGGTGCGTGGGCAAGCCGCCGTGCCTATGGTGTAAATATCGTATTTAAGTGGGCCGGGATGGTTTGGGCCTGATCGTATCATGCCTCTCAAGGTCAAAGCCAGGGGTGTTCCCAGTGCGGGGTGGTTGCGGTTGCCATAGGTGCAACCACTTTCATTTCTGTATTTGGGCTTTACAAGGAAGATCAAGGGAGGGTACATTTTAGCGGTTTATGTATATTGTTTATTAAATGGGTTTATGTATGTTTTAAGCATACACATGATATACACACTCTTGGTTTGTTTGTCTTGGCTTCAGTGGCTTTGGCTCCCATTTTTTGCTGCTTTTGCCTTCCAACTGGCTTCTGACTTTTGGCTTCTGAGTTTTTTTTTTGTGGTTTTTGGCTTTTGGTGGCTTTGTTGCGGTGTTTGGTTTTTGGTGGCTTGTGTGACGTTTGGTTGCGGGGTGGTTTGGCTTTTGATTGCTCGAATTTGGTGGTTTTTTGGGTTTCGTTGGATTTGATGGCTTCCGTTGGCTTCTAGCCAGTTCTTAGGGCTGCTGGCTTTTGGTAGCTTCTCTTGGCCTATGTTGGCTGCTGTTGACTGGCTTTCAGTGGTTTCTTACAATGGTTTGTGTGTTCTATGGGGGAGGCGCTGTGCCCCTCTTGCTCCACGAAATCTGCAACCTCTCCGATGACCCCGCGTGTCACCAAAATCCGATTTTCAGAGTGACTGCGGGCACTAATAATCCTCCAGTGACTATATACAGTGCTTTTTCGCCGCTCATTTGTTGTCCCTTTAGCTTTGGTTTGGTTGTTGCAGTTGTGGTTGATGTTGAGTTATTCATGATCCCCTTTGTCCTCTGGTTCTTTGCCCCGATGGTGCCTCTGGTCACCAGTTCCCCACTCAAATGCTTTCCAGTGGCCTCCCACAAGTCAAAACCTGCCTGATCAGTTCCTGCTTGGTTTGCTGTTAGGGAGGTGCTCGCTCTCCTGCAACGCCCTCCATCCATGTGCATACTTCGGCAACGAAGGACGAAGGACTTTGGACCAATAGCCTGAGGTTTTTGTCACTTTGTCCTGTTTGTAGCACAGCTGCCAAGCTCAACCTCTGCGTGTGTGTAACGCTTGGAATCAGAGGGGCGTTTTGTGTTTTGAAATAGGTTCGTTGCAGGGGGCCATCCATCTGACCATTTGGTGGACGGCCAATCTTGCCATTTTAGAATTTAGAATCTAGTCTAATTGTAATTTGTTTCTATCGGCGATTCACTTGTGATTCTTTGCTCTTGTACATGTTACATGTCCCAGTGCATTTATGTGCATGTCCTTTCTGAAGAGTTCCTTATGAGTTTTGGATCTGACCTGCCGGCTTTCAAACTCTTGCTTTCTGGGTAGTACGGTTGAGCGTCAGACGGAGAGACGCTTACCATGGCTGATTTCTTGAAAGCCTGGTTTATTCAGGCCCTTTTTCAAATGAAGGTTTCTTCTCAGCTTTGGCGGCCTCAGTACGTACGCGTTATCCCGAGTGTGTCTCCCTTTATGCGAGCCCGGAGTGAGCCCGGAGTGAGCTGAGCAAGGGTTTGGCTTTTTGCGGCCGGAAAGCAGTGTAGCTCACCGTGAGCGTACCTTGGGGCAGAGGCCTGTTAAGATTTGACGCCCTGGATTGAGCTTGAGCAGGCTGAGCGCCGAGCGCCAAGAGTAGTCCACAGCGGACCAGAGCAGCCAGCCACTTTGGCAAGGCGCGAGTAGGCCGCAGCGGTCAAACAAGGTTTTCCTTAGGTCGTTCCAATGAGGGCCAGCCTGCTGCCCAAGTGCAGCAGCGCGCGAACCCTCCTCCCCCCTTGCTCCCTTGTTTATTTATTCAGACCTTGTTCTTGCAGGCTTGAGGAAGCTTTTCAGGTTGGCGTTGGGCTGCTTACAGGCAGGTGAAAGCTGCCTCTTTTGCAAAAACCCCGCTCACCCTCCCTTGCTTTGGCCCAAGTGCCTGCCCTGGAGTTTGGTGGCAGGGTAGTACCTGCAAGGCTGGCATTGCAAGAAAAAGTGTGCAAGGGCTGTAGGGAGGGCTGTCTGGCTTCATCCTTTGTTTTGCTGTCCACACGCACACACACACACACACCTTCTTGTCCTCTTTCTTTTCATGTCTCTTCTGCCTTCATGTCCGGTCATCTCATTCTTTTGTGCGCGCACCGGTCCGGCCCTTAGATGCGCGCCTGTGCATTTCAAATTAGGCATCAGGTTGCACGGGTGTTGAGAAGGAGGAACGGCTCATCGGTTGTTTCTGTGTGCATTAGTTTCCTTCCTTCCTTCCTTCCTTCCTTCTTTCAAACCGGCACCTTAGAAGCAAATTACTCTTGGGGAGGCGTGCGCGTGTAACCTTTGGAATCAGGGGGCATCTGGTATTTTAAAAGTAGGTTCGTTGCAGGGGGCCATCCCTCCCACCATTTGGTGGATGGCCAATGGAGAGGCCAATGGTGAGAGCTGTAAAGGCACCTGCCATTTTAGAATCTACTTGTAACCTAATTCTACCGGCGATTCACTTGTGATTCTTTGCTCTTGTACATGTTACATGTCCCAGTGCATTTATGTGCATGTCCTTTCTGAAGAGTTCCTTATGCGTTTTGGATCTGACCTGCCGGCTTTCAAACTCTTGCTTTCTGGGCAGTACGGTTGAGCGTCAGACGGAGAGATGCTTACCATGGCTGATTTCTTGAAAGCCTGGTTTATTCAGGCCCTTTTTCAAATCAAGGTTTCTTCTCAGCTTTGGCGGCCTCAGTACGTACGCGTTATCCCGAGTGTGTGCGTGTTGGCGCAGGCGCGGGCGCTTATACAACTGCTAGCCAAACTAGACCAGGCTCATCACAGAATGGAAGTTCAAATGTGCCAAGATCTGAGTGCCACAAAGTTGTTGAACTTTGAAATACTATTTGTACTACAAATATGTAAATTGGTATTGGTAATATACATTGTGGTTGCATAGTTGTAACACACCAGCCAAGTTGCCCGCCGGATTCACGAAGTATTGCACGCAGCTCAAGTCAACACGGTTTCAAATGGGTCGGACTGAAGTCTTGCAAAAGGCAACGTGAATCCCTAGGATCGGAGAGGAGTATACTACCGGAGTATGTATATGTATATAATATATTATACATTATCCTTGTTGATGCTTAGTTTTGCATACTTTTGTTTGACCCTCAAACAGTATTTTCTTGATGCTTCAAATAGTTTTTTTATCTCTCACTCCTCGTGGCTGTGGTTGTTGATGATGCTGTTGTTGATTGTTACTAACGTACAAGTGCGCGTACACACGCACAGATGATGACAACAACAGTAACAACAGTCGGGAACAACTTGGACACATGAAGTGAAACTGTTCGTTCTGTGTTCCATTGTCCAAAATTGAAAAGAACGATGTATAAATGTATATATACACTCCTTTGCGCTCCTCAGCCATTGCACCTGTTGAGGCCGCTGCCTTGGTGACTATTGGCGAAATCTACTCAATGAACGGAAAGAAGGACGAAGCGAGAAAGGCCGGCCACAGTGACTTCTCCCCTGCCTTGTCATCATGGTTTGTCACTTGGTTGCTATCTCATCTCCATGAAATTGCGTGGTCCATCGGACAACATGCAACTCCCAATCTGCTTAGCACGGCAAGTATTCATGTATGAATATGTTTATACACGTATGTTCAATCTAAGGATGGCAGGAATCATGCAGCAGGAATACTCAAACCATCACACCCTTTTTTTGGCCTTGTCACTGTGAGTTTGCACAACACTTGCTCTCCCAAATTGCTTGCTCACTGCTCAGTTCGCTCACAAGTCTTTGGACATCGCTCAGAAGATCAATGATCCTCAGAGCCAAGATGCTGCACTGCACGTGGCCCCAGAAGAGAGTAAACAAATGAGCATGTGGTTCGCTGTTGTGCGATGCATTTGCTTGTCATGGACATTTTTGAGCCATTCTTTCAGAGAAGGCAGCTCCTGGAACACCTGGAAGGCAAAGGGAAGGGCAAGCAGGCGGGGAATGGGGGAGGAAGCCCCTATGTATTCTTTTTTTGTTCCTAGTAGCCTCCTTGCTCCTAGTAGTAAGGCCAGGAGCCCCTAGTAGCGATGCCCTTGTTCCTAATAGCGATGCCAGGAGCCCTAGTAGCGTCCATGTTCCATGTGACGGGTGGAGCTTGAACTTGAGCTTCGATGAAACGTGCGCTTCTGTTGGAGCAGAGTGGAGGACGACTATGTCGAGGACGCCGCCTATGGTCCTGTGTGGTGGTGCCAGAGTGACTTTTGTTGCAAATGAGGTCTTACACTGTCTTGCATCTGAGAGAGCCATCTCAAATGAGGTGTCACATCTGTCGAAGCCACTTCTTTGCGCTTGGATCACACACAAGTCTGATCCAGGACACTGGTGCCATGGCAGCGCCAGGCAATGCAATTTATGAAGCCTTACAGCTGCAAAATAGTATTATAGAACATTATAGAATATTATACAGTAGAATATTCCTGGATTCGCAGGTGGCGCAGAAGTCAGCACGGGCGCAAGTGAAATTGGGCCATATAAGGGGCCCACAGCCTGGCACTCAAATGCAATGCTCACATACTTCACAAGGAGACGACGAACATGACAATGTCAAGGCATGTTAATCGATCGTCCTTCTTTTCTTTGCCTCTCCATGCCTGTCACTTGTCCTTCCCCAAAGTGAATGTATATACTGTAGTTGAGGGTCCAGGGTTGCGGTCTGCGAGCAGCTGAATTTATGCTAGCTGAGGTGGATGCCCTGATTCCTCGCATCAATGAGATTGCAATGCAGCTGCAAGACACCGAGACTGGAATGACTTGAACTTTGACACAGCTCCTTTCCAAGTCACAGGAACATGAAACTATGCTGAGTTGGTGGGACAGCAGACATTTGAAAAACATGTTGCATGTATATAAGCAGCTGTTCCACAAAGCTTCCTCAAGCTGGGGACTGGCTTGGTTGATCCTTGAAAGATTCAGTTGCATTGGCGCCAGGGTGCAAACTGATGAACTTCACCAGGAGCCATGGGAGAACCGTGGAGAAACTCTAGACAGCTAGTTATAGTTTGAAGGTTTGCACACACAAAAACCGCCGTTTTGTAGTCCAACTTGAACATCTATTTTGACCTGTTAGTTGCGATGTTACATTGTAACGTTGCCCATTTCAACATGAAAAACTGATAATTTGATGTTTCTCACTTCGTCCACTTCGAGGACGCACCGCTCATGGATGCAGGTCTAGACAGTTTGTCCATGGTGCGCCTGGGAGCCATGACATGCCTTTCTGCAAACACGCTGGCACAGTTGTGCTGCAAGCAGTCTCACTTGCAGTTTCAGACGATGCTTTTGAGTTGAAAGGTACAGTTCAGGAATGCTTTGCAGCAGCAGTCAAAGCTTCAGATGCTTGCGGATCAACACAGCAGACTGAAGTATATAACAATCATCGCGGGGAACCGATTGAAAAGTGCAAAGTTTTCTTCATGAAGCTGCCATTTTCAAAGGAAAAAACACTAGTCGTGCCCGATGCTGTTGAATCTATTGCATGGTGTCGCATGGACCAATCATCATGGACCGGTGCCTGTGTTACGTTTTGCTTCAAATGTCAAGGTTCCCAGGAGTACCTATGCCTGCATCGCTGATCTTTGACAATCCGTGAGCCCGCTAGTGCTGTGTCAGCTGCCGCCAGAGCAGGGTTATTTTTGGTAGGAAATGGGTTGGCCCCACTTTGATTCTCACTTTTCACTAGGAGACTTGGTGAAACGCATACAGTGCTAATAGATATAAGAGCGAGGTGCTGTCGCAATTGGGACAGCAGGCAAACTTCGTGACTTCCTAGGTCTGTGCGAGCGCTTGGTCTCAACATCCACGAGGAGCTTAAGGCCGTTTGGGCGCTTTCGGTACTCCTTTGGTGACCTCGGTGATCCTGGATTTGGGCTTCCTATTGCTATTCTTATACTGTTATACTCTTGTGGTGCGGAAGAAGGTTCAATGCAAGGAACAGGGGCCACTAGAATAATTACAACCGCGAAGCAGCACCAGCTTTTGGGAAGCATTCAGCAAACAAATTGGGGGCTGGCAGTTTAGAACAAAAACCAGTGAAAAGCGAGCAAGCCAACCGTGAATGTGCGTGGTGTGGCGGGTTAGGCTATAAGCTCTAGCTCTGGCCGCGGCTCATGATCCTGTGTTCTTTTTTCTCTATTTGTGAGTATTTGTGGTGCTTCCGGCAATTTGTCCAATGGCGATCGCTAATTTAATTCTTTTGACTTCTCGAGACTTGTAACGTGTCAGCCCTGTTGTTTCTTGCGACTTGGGCCGACAAAAGCACCGCGTGCAATAAGTTAAGCACGATTGGTTTTGGAATTAGCAACTACGCGGAACCGAGAGGGAAAACTCTGGTGATGTAGATTTGGTATGAATTTATGCTGTCCAGTTATAGTTTAGTTTGGTTACTGTTGTTTTCTTGCGATCTATTTCTGACGATCTATTGAACTGCATTCAGCCTTTGGATTCATGCCGCCACAGTGCAAGAGTGCGAACATCAGCCACCCCATTCGCATGACACTATGCTTTTGCTTGTCAACTCTCATTTAGCATTCTTGATGATAATAATGAATAATGATGATGATGATGACGACGATGATTCATACTGAAAAAGAAGGTAACATTGGCTAAGCACATCCATGCCCCAAATTCAATCCTACTTGAAGGGATCCTCCTTAGCTTTGATAAGGGCGCTCGCCGACCGCTGGGCCAGTCAGCACATGAAGCTGGACGGCCACTGGTTTGACCAGTTTTGATCAGCTTGAGATAGCAGTGCCGGTGATTGAAGATAGCAGGAGCAAATTGATCTCTTCTTAACATGGAAGTGAACCTTTTCCTTCACCTTTTTCTTCAGACATCATGGACATACTCTTTGATCACCGTGGCACTTGTCCGGTGGCCATTTGCAGGGATGGTGATGGCAAATCAAGATTTCATACAGCACATACTAGAAACAGGCACAAGCTATATTGAATCGCAACTACTCTTTTTGCTCACCTGCATGAAGCCGAATGTGAATCTGCGCATGGCGCTTATGCTGTGCTGCTTTTCAATTTGGGTTCAGTTATCACCTCATAATTATTCCAGTGTTGAGAAGCAGTTCTTCCGAGTTGGTTTGTGATTCTTGGTGGCGGTGGACAAAAAAGATGGGTTTGCAAGGCTTGTATTCTTGCAATGAATCTGAAGCTTGACCTTCATGGGACTCTTCAGACCTGGAGCCGCCCTTGCATTTGGCACACAGCCTGATGTTTTTTAAGTATATACTATTCTTGGGTCTCTTGTGTGGCCTGTCCACCAAATGCACAAAAGAAGAAGAGCAGATATAAATAAATATATATATATAATATATATGTTTTAAATATGTATGTTAATAATTAATTCGATATATCCCTTGTGTTGGTTGTCATCCACTTACCGGTACAGCTTAACCTTTTACGGAATAAAAGGACTTGCAAGTCAGTTGGGAGTGAAATTGAGCGGAACACCCACGGCACATGTGGTGAGTCTGATATGATTGGTTGTGTTTACTGTGGATTGGTCCGCATGCAACATATGACATGACCTGATAGATTTATCATGTCTACATGGCCCTGAGATCCCATGGATGCTTCTTTGCTTGGCTCTCGGCTGCAACGGCTTCGGCTCCTCCTACGTGCTTTGGGTGCGCTGCTGCTGAGTGGGGTCGTGAGCACTGCTTTGTACAAAGTCCTTCGAGGGAAGACAAAGCAAATTGAAGACAACTCTCAGTACGTGGTGGAGGAGCACTCCTACCTGCGTCAGGACGATGTGGCATCAAAGTTCATTGATCGTGATTTTTCTCCCGTCAGTCAGTCCCAAGTCCTTTGGGAAAGTTTTCCACTTAAAGGGTCTTCAGTTCTTACACATATTGCAACTGTTTTTGAGAGCACCCTTCTTATCAATCAGTCCATCCTTCTCTCATCCATCAAACCTTTTACAACCCATCAAACATTATGTTTGCGGTGCAGGTGCCAGGCTTACGCATCACAAGCATGCTTTTTATTTAGTCCTGTCAATGATCACAAATAAGCGATGTCAGATGATGTTAGAAGGAACTCTTGGCACATAGGTGGTCTCAGATTTGAAGTGCGAAGGACATGTTTTATTTGTTCAATATAAAGTTGGGGTCAACAACACCCTCTCGTTTATAAACATATATATATATATAGACGTAGCACTGACACTGAGAGTTGGCAGGAAGATGAGAGGGTGCTTGCAAAAGTTGGCCGGACGCTCCCTGACACTCGAGCTGACATTGAAATATAGCTGTTGACATGCTAGGACTGGCAAGAGAAGAGTGTGGACAAGCAAGCCAAGAAACGCGCCGAGGTTGGACAACAGTCGTGCTGGGTCGTTCGTGTCAGAACTGAAGGTTTCAACTCAAGGCCGTTGCAGGCTTTCAGCTGATCATGTAATCTTGTACACTTTCCAGCCATGATTTCACTTGGAAGCACTTTCACAGCCATGGAGTTCGGATCAATCAATCAATGCTACTGTCCAGGTTTCTGAGATCACCCATTTCGGATTGCCTGACGATCTTTTTGAGCTTGGCACCAAATTGGATGCTGGTGGCCAAGGGACGGTGTTCGTGTCAGGAGCCTAGACTATTGCTTTGGCCCAATCACCCAGACAAGGTAGCACCAAGGCGTTCAAGATTGACCATGGCAATAATCAAGATAATCTAGACTGACACTGACTCCGGATGAGTCCACATGTTTCAGACAGTTTCCAATGACTTGGAGGGCTTATTTCCAGGTGCGTACGGAAAAGTACACATCACGAGTATGCTGTCAAGGCTGGGGTGAGTTGAAATGCAGCACTTTCCCATCAAGTCTATTCTCATGAACAGCACCGTCCATGAAGATCCGAAACAATTCTATTGCGGGGCAGCATCGCTTTGCGCACAATTCTTACAATTCTCAATAAACTGGGTTTGCAAATCACGTCCACTACCTTAGCTGCAGGTCATCAGCACTGGCTGTTTGGAGAAGAGCGAGCGACAGCTTGCGTCATTGCGAAAGGAGATTCGAATAATGCGGGAATTGCACCATCCCAACATTGCAACTCGGAAAAATGCTTCAGAAACAAGGGCATCGCTGTTACTGGTAACAAGGGCATCACAAGGGCATTGCAACTTGGAAAGATTTCACTAGAGCAGTGGTGTTGCTTCTGTTTTTTGGAAGCCATGCAGCAGACCGATCGTGTAGCATTTCTTTTTCGCCTCAACCACTTTGGATAGACAAGTAGAAGATGGATGGCAGAGTGCTATCAACAGAAACCAGCAGGGGAGGAGAAGTGCAGTTGAGTTTCGTAGGCGTGGTCGTTCATTGCCAATCCTATTGGAGCAGGTTGGACTAGGACTACTGTGATATAGATGAGAAGCCTTGCAAGATCTTCCAAGTCTATAACCGTATATAAATATTCGTAGTCTTATCATCACCTTGCGGGCGCGTGTGTGTGTGTGTGGTTTGCATGCAGTATCGACGTGTGTGTGGAAACTGGCTGGTTGCTCCGGACTTCAGAGCAGGGGCGTAAGGCTCGTCATAGCCACTGTGCGCAGAGAAGCTACCATATGTTATGGCAAGGGAAGGGTGGAGCGATCATCCACCTGTATCTGCTGTTGTCGTTCACCTTTTGAACGAATGGCACGAGGCCAAGCTGAAAACCTCACTAACTCATGATTGTGTTTCATGCGGGTTCCACTCAGTCCCTACAGGGTGTAGTCAGTCTCGCAAAGGACATACAGTTAGGAGGTTCTGGGCGCCTTAAATACTAAAGAAAGAATGTAAAGAGCTCTTCTGACCCAACCCGATTTCCACTGCGCATCGGCTGTATGCCTGCTTTGGTGACACCGTGGATCAGCCTTGGTTGGTCTAAAGAAGGCATCAATCCCGACGGAAATCGTCGTTTCCGGTTAGTTGGCTTGAGTTGAATTCGTGTTTGGCCCTGGCAGATCAGCCGTGGATTGGTAGCTTCGACGGCAGTTGCTTGGGTGTAGTGGCAACATTCACAGTCTTTCGAAGAAGTCTTCTATTAAGTGCTGTGCGTTGCTCTTTGATGTCAGGTTCTCAGACTATGACTAAGGCCCCTATCTTAAGCCACTTCTGGCTAGGGACCCCTCACGTTATTTTGTTTAAATTACTTTTAGGTATGTAAGGTTTTGGCAACTCTGCTTTGGCCAACATCATCCCTCAAACATCCTCAAACTATGTAAGTCAAATCGAGTGCGCAATCTGAGTTCAATAGATGAGCAACATCGTTAAATAACTCTGAATCATTCTGCCAATCTTCAGAGGCACATGCGCCTGTATATGCAGAGCTGGTGCTATTTTCGGACTTGATGTGTGCCATCCGTCCCTTCCTTTTGTTGCACTTTATGTACAGTAAGGTGAATTTGCACGAAGCTTTCTGGACGGATGATCAATGTTTGATTGTCATGGACTTGGCCCGAGGCAGAGGGGTTACGCGATGTTTGCAGTGGTTGTTGAACGAATATAAGTATAAGAGTCGTGCTTTCAAGTAGTAACAACGGGTATTGATGTCCCGTCCTTGAGAAAACATACAGTACTTGTAGTAGCACAGGATACTGGTGGTAAAGAACACACGCGGAAAAAACTCGGACAATTTCGCACATGTTGAAAGTGTTTCTCAGGCGGCAATCTTTTCGACAAACTCCACGATGACATTGTGAACTGCAGATCTGACCCCTTCCCTGGACTTGGTGGCTTGGCCTGGGCTGGGCAGTTTAATCTATTCTCCATGCAGGTGTTTGCACATGGGCGGATGTGTACCGCATTGCCACGGGCTGGCTGAGTCTCAGCCGTTTTTTCACAAAAAGGGATCCTTACCACGCAATGGGTGGCTAGTGAAGTGCAAGTTTGGAAGCCAAAAGAACTCAAATAAGGGACTTTCTCACATTACATAGTATAAATACATCAATCTTCTATTTCAAACAAAAACTGCATTATCCCGGCAAGAGACCCCAGACAGGGGTGTGTGTGTGTGAGGTCTAGAGGCGTAGCAGCGCAGAAAGTCGCAATGGGGTCCAGAGAGGTGATGGTGATGAAGGTGGAGATCGTGGTGATGCTGGTGGCGATGGTGGTGGTGGTTGTGAGTGAGTGAGTGAGTGAGTGAGTGAGTGAGTGAGTGAGTGAGTGGGTGGGTGAGTGAGTGAGTGAGTGAGTGAGTGAGTGAGTGTGAGAGTGCGAGTGAGAGTGAGAGTGAGTGTGAGTGTGAGGGTGAATGTGCATGTGAATGTGAGTGTGAGTGAGTGCGAATGTGAGTGTGAGAGTGAGAGTGAGAGTGAGTGAGTGAATGAGTGAATGAGTGAGAGTGAGAGTGGGAGTGGGGTGAGAGTGAGTGAGAGTGAGTGTGAGTGTGAGTGAGAGAGTGAGCGCGAGCGTGTGTGTGAGTGAGAGTGAGAGAGTGGGAGAGTGAGAGAGTGAGAGTGAGTGAGAGTGAGAGTGAGTGAGAGTGAGTGAGAGTGAGAGTGATCATCTGAGAGCACAAAGTGCTGACTCCGAGGTTCACAAAGTGCTGTGCCTGCCACGAAATCTACACTTCGAGGTTCACAAAGTGCTGCGGCTGCCACGAAATCTGTACTTCCAGGTTCACAAAGTGCTGTGCCTGCCACGAAATCTACACTTCGAGGTTCACAAAGTGCTGTGCCTGCCTTGAAATCTGCACTTCCAGGTTCACAAAGTGCTGCGCCTGCCACGAAATCTGCGCTTGAAGATTCACATCGCGCAGCCTTGCCGAGGCGTTTTGCGGCCCACCAGATTTCGCGAGCCTGCGCAGTCGAAATGCGTTTCCAGGATTTCGAGAGGTATGAATGTTCTTTAAGTAGCAGCGAAACAGCCCAGCCACACACGCCCGCGCAACACCTCGATTAGACACCGGTGCTTAACCATTACCGTAAGAACCCCTAGTGTGACCACACTGTTTGGAGAATAAGTAGGTCACCTCTCTCTCTCTCTATATTCCACCTGCCTTTTGTAGCACATTTTATACTTTGTGCGTTCAAATTGGTTCTACGACCTCGCCCTGCATTAGAGAAGGCTGTTGTGACTACTTTACAGTGCTATCCCTGTGCTGGCTTAGTGGCGTTGCTCGGGCCCCGGGCTACGGGGTTGCCTCGAGGCACCCCTGCGGTAAAAACGGTAAAAATCAGCATTTCCCGGTTTTCCCAGGGGATCGCCTTATGATGTATAATGTATTATATTTTTTTGGCTGTTTTTCTCGAGTCGGTTGCCTCTAATTTTTGACCACGTGCGCGGTAGAAAAACATAAAGCACATTGTTTTCTATCTTTGTTTTCGGGGAGGGTCGCCTATATTTAAAACCACGCGTGGTAAAACCGGAAAACATTGTAATTTTTTGTTTTAGTGTGTTTACGGTTATTTTGTCCATGGGTCACCTTTATTTTGTAACAAACGCACGGGACAAATCGAAAAAATGTGTGTTTTTTGCCGTTATTTTCCGGGGGGGTCGCCTGTTTTTACCACACCCGCGGTAAAACCGGTCAACATCGATTTGTTTGTTCTTTTTTTTTGGGGGGTCGCTTTTGTTTTAATACCACACGCACGGTAGAACCAGTAAAAATTGTTTTGTTTTTTTACCGTTTTCTGTTAGCGGGCGCGAACGGGTACCCCTTAGCAGAAGAACGCGCGCAAACCGACTTAGATTGCTATGTTTACGCTTCCCTACTTCGCAAACAAATCTATACACATGTCTTCTATACACACAGACACCATCGCCAATTGCAGCACACAATTTTCTTGTGCTGTGAATTCTGATGAATGCCTGCACACATTCGGAACATGAGTCAGATGCCTTAGGAGCTAAGGTGACAAAGAGTTTGCCTCCAAGTATGTTGCTGGTCAGCTGTTGCTTGATTTATTTTGGTAAGAGGAATTGTGCCAACTGTCTGTCACTGATCTCAATTCAGTTCTAACATTTGTCCTTTTGTGATGTTGTTCTTGTGCGTTCGAGGATCTTCGGACTTGACAGTAAACTGCCTCAGGCTGGAAGGCATAGGCTACATGCAAGCGTGGCTTGGCCAAAGCTCCTGAGCCACAGACTGCACATGCTCACATGTTGCACGTTTGCCTGCTTTGCAGTTCAACTGTAAAAGTTTAAAAGTCCATTGTAGAGACATGGTTGGATCACAAATACATTGCTCAATAGTCAAGGGCCAAATACCGACACGTGTACATTGTACACATGAAACTGGTTCTATGTGGTGCTCAGTTCTCACTCAGTTCTCGGAGCTTTCTCCAGTAACGATGTGACAGAGAGGTTCTTGTCTAATCTTCATCCCAGACAACTTTTGGGCCACCGATTCTTTGCGCGCAGCCAAATTTCTTTGTCCAAGGCACCACGTGTTGCACAGGGATCTAAAATTGGAGAATATTTTGATCACAACCACCAGTGCCTTGGTCACTGCCAGCTTCAGCATGCAGAATGTGCCAACACATAGACGCCTTACGCTGGCAGTGATTTGCAAGGCATCCAACTAACAATGAGTGGACGCAAGAGATTTGGAGATTGTGCACATCCTTTTGTCAGGTGTTTTGTTGCAGAGGGCACATGGGGCACTAGTTGGCAAGGGGGTAGATAGTACATTTAGTTTAGAAACTATTAGAAGCTGTTCATGACCATCATTTGATGTGCCTAACTTCTTGCTAAGGCTTCTCCGCTGAAGAGCACTGTCCATTGCATCATATCAAGATCGCAGTCGCTCCAATCAATTATTCGTCAATTTGTGTGTAGGGACTTCCATTGCAGCAGCTAGACAGCCAGACTGTTCCCAATTCAACGGAGACTTGATGGGCTTCATCAAAGATGGTCCCAATTCAAAAGGGGGACACCCATCTCCCTTTCAATTTCATTGTTTGTTTTTGTTGAGAGGCAATCTAGGTTTTAAACTGGGTCTCGTTCCCTATTGACTGTATCGAGGTAAGCAGTTGAGTGATGTTGAGTGCATTTGCAGGAGCCTTCAGCAAACTGCTATACTAATTATATTTTTGGTGTAGTATTCTTGTGGATATCGACAACAATGGTTTACAGTTATAAGTTATAAGCGTTTCAGTAGTTGTTCCTCACACTTGCTTAGGACTTTGGATTGTCAACCTCAAAGGAGAAAAAGGTCGCTCTGATGCAGAAGCAAAGCAATTGCTGCTGGTATGCTTGCTGCATCCCTTCCTTTTTTTAATGCAATGTTGGTGGCGCAGTGGGCATTGGCATTAAATGATCTTTAAACTGCAATGTCAGTAAAGCGTCACACAGGCCTTCAAGTGACGCATGTTTACAAGACCTCCACTAGGCTGTTGACACATTGTGTTCCTCCTTTCTCACCAAGTGTTCACTGGATATGTATACTATAGCATACTGTATACTAGTAAATTGCTGTATATTTACACGACTTTTTACTCTGAGAGGGTGAACAAAGGGCTTGACAAATGATGAACATTGTACATTGACACATTTGTTTACCATTCAGCATGGACGGCTTTATATGATTGAAAGCTCTTCCGTTGCTCAACACTTGTAGGGTTTCTTGGTTCCTTCGATAATTTCAGATCCTCTCATTAAGCAATTTGGCTTTACCTTGTTTGACATATATATATATACCATATGTGTGAAAAACACGGGGAACAAGAAAGGAGGAAAACCAAGTTCACCGTCACTGCGGAACGCTCTAAGTTTCCGTCTGCTGCAAAGGGGACCTTTTCCTTCAAGGCTCATGTACGAGCAGCCACGTCATGTGGCCCAAGCGCGCTTGAGGAAGCGGCGCATGAACGAGTGCGAACCGAGCGCAGTCATCATCGAATGACATGAACTCACATCTATTGCTTCAAATTCACACTGGTGGAAAAGTAAAAGGGTTTTGACCTTAGGTCAAGTTCTTCACCAACGGTCCTTTTCGACCTGCTTTTCACAGATCTTGCAACACTCAATGGCCGTCTGGCCGGATGCATTGTGGAACGCTGGACACTGGGGATCTACATGGAACTTTGCTCCATGTGCGGTCATGAAAATTTCCTTCGGGATCGGTGTTTCTCGGCAATTCTGGATCCTGTGGTGCTCTTGCTGCAAGACATGGTGGTGGCCTTGCAAGCTCTGGAGGGCTAGAACGGTGCGTTGATATGCGCCATTTGCAATTCGTGTTTCGTTTGCAGCTTCTCTCAAACCAACTTCATATTCTTCCATTCTGTCATCTTGCCGATGTACTTCAGCTTCCAGGTAGTTGATCCTGTGCTGGAGTCGGGCAATGGTCTCAGCGTGATCTTTCACTTCATTCTTCAACTTCATGTTCTCCTCACGAAGTCGGATGGGCACCAACTTTTGGAACTGTTCTGTTGTTTGGGTGGAATTTTCTGTGGTTTCCACCTCATGACTTTCTTCACTTTCATCGTCCATCATGTTCAGGGACTTCTCATCGTTCTTCACCTTGCCGATGACATTCACAAGGGCCTTGAGCATGTTCATGAAAGCTTGAGAGGCTCCGAAAATGGCCAGCGCAGTAAACAGCATGAAAACATAGATGTTGTAGGTCTCGTTGGTCTCACCTGTTTCACTTGCTGCTTGTGCTACGCTTGATGATCCCAAAATGATCATCATTGCCAATCCTCTTCGGGCTTCAGCTTTTGTCAATGCGTTGCGGCGTGCATTGTCATGTCGTTCTTTTGGGCTTTTCTTCTTGGCCGCGGTGAAGCTCTGGTCGGACTGGAGGGTGAACATGTGTGTTCGCATGCGGTCTGCCATGAGCTGCCGTGAAGCCACTTTTGTAAGGCTTTTAGCCAGTTGAAACTCACTGGACATCCACTTCAGGAGGCATCCTGTTGTGGTCATCTTTTCTTTGATCACCAAGGCCTCGATCTGGGCGCGTTTGTCCCCAGTCAACTGAGGTGCTTCACTTTTGAGGCAGTCATATAGGGCTTTGGCATCTACCACAAGTGCACACGGTAGTCGACCAGTTTTCTCATCCACATTTGAGGTGGTGAATGAGCTGTTGACACATCCCTTCCAAAACAATTGAATGTACTCGAGGGAGTCCATGGCGGCACTGCAAGCTTGAGACTCGGAATTCAAACTGCTTCTGCTGATTCGAGGCAACTTGTACGATCTCCAGTCAAGGATGACATACTTGAAATCGCCACTCTTGTGCAGCACGTCCTTGTGGGACAGCAGGATGAAGTATCCTCCTTGGCTCAAATGGTCGGGGCGAACACCCCATGCAGCGTCACTGACAGCGGTCAAACATAGTTCATTCAAATCACCCAATTTTGTGAACTGTAGGGAGGCGTCCTTGTTGTTCTTTGCAAACCTGAGTGCTTTGTTTGCTGCTTTTGCTATGGACTCTGTTGCACCATTGATGCTACCACAAAGTAGGGAGATTGAAGCGCTCAAATGCGGCATCGACTGCGTTGATGGGCACTGGAGTGCTCCCAGCAATCCTCGGAGTGCTGACACTTCTTTTGGAGACAGTGGATCACGGTCTCCTTTTGGTGTAGTTGTCAAAGGTTTCACTCCAGGGATGTAGTCCTCTTGGTGCAATTGCCATGTTTGTTCCCCAGTCTTCTTTAGTTTGCAGCCACAAAACTCAAGTTGTTTGCCTTCTGCCTCTTCGCTCCAATGTTTGAAGTCGAAGGTCTTGTGAAGATCATCTTTGACCTTTTGGTACATCGATGAGCTTGGATCTCCAGTGCCAATGAAGGTGGCACATGTGGTTGTAGTTCATCAAGATCTTGATCTTCAGGAACTGGTGGAAGTTGACCTGGGTCAATGGCTTCTCCTGCATTCGTTGGTTCAACCATTGGTACATCAGGTACACGGAACTTCGTTGCTGAGAGCTGGAAAGCAGCATGTCAGGAAACTTCCGAACCTACAACGTTCCATACACTCCACCGAACGTGCAATCCAAGCAATGGAAGGACTCCGGCAGCGACGTGTCGTCCGCATCATCGATCTCGAAAGGACCAATCGCCAAAGTCTGGACGACATGGACCCTGACCATGCAGAGGCCGAAGAACTCCTGGCTCCTGAGGTAAACATTGACTTGGAACCACTTCAAAATGAACACCATCAAGCACCTCTCAATCAAGGAGATGCTTTAGAACCTCCAGGTCGAAATGAACCTCAAGGCCAAAGTGAACCACCAGGTCATAATGAACCTCTCGGACATCCTGCTGGAGTGCAATCCAGTATGTGTCAACCACATTGGTATCAGGATCTCGTTGGACAGCTAGAACCACTGCAGGACCACGCCATTGAATTGTGTGGAACCGATCATTGGATTCTCTCCAATAGAGGCATCGTTCTCCTGGAGATAGGTCTTCGTTTTGGCCAGTGAATCTTCTCAACAGTGCTCTTCGGAGTTTGACATCAATCTCAGCTTTGGCGCATGCTGCGTGGGCACTTGCTCGAAGTTGGAGCTTCTTGTACAACCGTTCTTGTTCAGTTGTTTGCAGCTGAAGAGGTGAAGTGCGCTCATCACTCAACAAGCCAGGCACATTGGGTTGCCGTCCATGAGCCAATTGACACGGTGTGTAGCCGTTGACAAAGGTGTTGTTGTTCAAGGAGGGGACAATCCAACAAGGCATCTTGGAGTCCAACAAGTCCTGTCAATTGATGCTCACGGATGAAGACAGCAAGACCTCTTCGAAGAAGTTGATGGCGTTCGTTCAACGATGCTTGTTCTGGTGTGATCTTGTCCTGGTGAAATTTTCATCTCAATGCCCTGTTCTTCAGCCCATTTCATTGAGTTGTCACTCGCCCAACCGGTGGCCTCGACGACAAAGAGACGTTCTGGAGGGCCATGGTGTCGAATCCAGCCTCGTTCGAAGGCTTTCTGTAGTGAAGGACCTTGCTCATCAGGAACGGTTCGAGCACTCATGAACCGGGTTGCTTCATCAACCATGACAAGGATGGGGATCTTCTTGCCCTTTCGCTTGGTGGTTCCATCAGGGTCTTCATTCACTCACAAGATCATACCACATCACATCGGCTTGTACGTGAGTGTTGAAGTTCTCTGCTCTGCTGAGATGAGCGGGAGCTGCACCTTTGCGGACTGCGAAGTTCTTGCAGTATGGACATTCAAGATCTTCTGCTGCTTTGATGATCTTCTCACCACATCCACGTTGACGAAGGAGAGAAACTAGAAGTTCTTTTCGTGGATGGCCGAGATTGCGATGAAGTCGGAATGCCAGCCTTGCTGCTTCTGATCCATGTGTGGCGGCGAGCTTCCGGAGAACACCTGTCAACTCTTGTTCATCGCCATCTCCTGCAGCGAAGGTCTGCTCTTCAAGTCCTTCAGGCTGTACGAGGGCATGTGCTATATGTTGTGCCATCTTGATGGGGTAGTCCTCAGCCTTGTGGCATCTGTTGCCGCCTTCGAGGGTCTGATGGCTGTGATCACCACTGCATCTCCTGGACATTCGGCGAACCATTGCCAGTTTTGTTGTCTGAAGAGCTGTTGGCTTCTTGATGGGCATCTGTTCATGGTTGTCATTCAGTGTGGTTGCGCCGTACTCACATGGATCAAAAATGACCTTGTAGCCGGGGAGGTTGGCGAAAGCTGGAGTTTTCCAGGACAACGCATGAGCAGGATGTTCGATGTGAGCATGTGAACCTCGGCGGACCTGTCCAAGATAAGCGCGACGGCAGAACTTGAGATGCTTTTCATGGTCTTCCTGTCGGCGAGCTTTGAGATGAAGTCGATCATCTTCTGTCTTGACATTGATGTTCTGCATGGTGCTCCAAAGTTTGCATTTTGGACTCAGCCACATTTCATCAGGTTCTTCTTCATCGGCGAGCTGCAGGAAGGCACGACGGTCGGCTGCTTTGTTGAAGTCCCAACCATCTTCAAGTCCAAATCGTCACCAAGTCGCTGACATTCCCTGGTGACATTTCCACGTCCGACATAGACTTCCCAGACCACTGGCTGTCGGTCAGGTTGGTGATCACGGGCATGGAGGACTTCTCGTTGTAGCCGTTTTTCTTCCTTGCAGATCTGTTCCATCACCATGTTCCAGAAGCCACGAAGTGATTCCTGATTCTTTTCTTTTTCACCTTCTTGAGGAGGTGATTCCAGGTTTTCAGCCGTAAAGACCGTGGAGGGCTTGAAGGTCTTTTCCGAGTTGTTCTTGATGTTGCTGAATCGACTCTGGGCCTTCATGTCTTCGATGAAGTCGCCGAAGCGAAGGATCTCATGGTGATCATCCTCAGTTCGGAGATCGAACTGGTGGTGGTTGTTGAACTGCATTGGACCAGCTTCTTTTCGAGCTAGCCTCATGAGCATGGTGTTCTGGCGTCCTTTCTCAATGGGAAGCCAGTCACTTCCAAGGATTTGCATCTTGTAGGCTCTGAAGTCGACAACTGCCTGAAGCCTTTCCATCACGGGTCTCCCGAGAGGAGGTGTGGCCCCAAAGATGATGTAGGCCTGGATGAAGCCTGCCTTGCCGTTGATGTAGGTGGGCACGGACAAGAGCCATCTTGCATGACCATTGGCGTCTCCGCCAAACTTGAAGTATTTGCTGCATTTCTTGAACTCAAGGCTTGAGAGATCGAAGCCAAGGATCTGCAACCAAGCCAGGTAGTACTCCGCGCCGATCAGGAAGCTGGATGCTCCTTGATCCTGAATTGCCATCTCTGGAGGGACCAACCATTCGTGCTCAGCCACGAGGACATCTGAACTACTGTAGGCGTCCTCACACTCAAAGAACTCTTCACAGTCGTAGTACTCGACTTGGACTGGGTCATTCGAAAGGATCATGACATTCTCATGAGGGGTGGCATTCTCACAAACCATGACATTTTCAGGGGAGGTGTCATTCTCACAAGCCATGACATTCTTTGAAACCTGAGCATTCGTTTGGGTCATGTCATTCTCAAAAAGAACCATGCCAGTGAGAAGAGGATCAGATTCCTCCAGAGTTTTCTTTGCTGAGGTCGGAGTCGTGCTCGAGCTCGATGCCTTGCATTGTGAGGCGAAGTGTCCAGGTTTGCCACATCGATGACACACCATTGCATCACGTGCGCGAGCTTTTCCTTGTGGTCCTTTTCCTTGTGGTGCTTTTGACTTTGATTTCCCCTTTTTCCCACGTCCTTTTGGACTTTTTCCACCTGAGCCACTGCTGGCGTTGGCCATGACGGGGAGCTGGTTTTTGTCGACCATCGCAACCACTGGATAGAACCCACGTGAGCGCTTGATTTCGAGCACTTGTTGTTTGGCATCAGTGTAGGCTGCCATTGCCATGCCATACTCTTCGGTGTCGAAGATCGTGTCCTCGTCGGTGTGGTGGAGGTATGCCAAATCTTCCTGGTCATCAACGAGGTCGTACTCCTGGTCATACCATTCTTCAGCTTCATAGAAAGCATCTTCATCGGGCTCATAGTCTTCTGTCCATTCGTCCTGGTCCCAAAGCTCATCGTCCTCGGCCATGTGGATGAGTTGGCGGGATTTCCATCGTCCTTGGAAGCCTTGGTTTTGAGCTCGTCGGACTGCAGGTTGGTGGACATGCTTGTAGTCTTGTCCGAGGATCATGTACATGGACTTCTCGATGTTGTTGAGACATGTCGGTGCCGGTCTGCGTGTAGATCATCTGTTGTTGATCCTTGCTCAAACAAGCTTTTCTCAACAACAGCCAACCAGCGACCTGCTCAGGGAGCGATATCTTGTACTTTTGAAGTTCTCGAAGGGACTGCTGGTGCTCGGTGCAAAACTCAAGGAGCGACTGCCCAACTCGACGTTGTGTCTTGTAGAAGTACTTCTCGAATGCGTCGGGCATCTCAACCCGATCATCATACTGCCATTGGGAGTCCAGCCTCTGCAAAATGCTCTTGAGGCCGTCGTCCTTCTCGAGGACATCTAAGCCCAGGTCTTCGCACTGGCGCCAGCCCAGCTTGCACCTTCCAAGATCGACAGGACTGACAGACCTGTCTCATTGGCTCTTCCTTGGATCGCCTGGCGGCGGGCGAACAGCAGGATCCTCTTGCGCCACTCTCGGTAGCCGGTCATCGTGTTGTCGAAGCGCGGGATGTAGCTTCTCTCATCTTTTCCAAGGGCGCCCTTCTCGGCCGGTCCATTGGCGTGCGAGCTTCCCTTCAGGGATCGAGACATGGCGGCGGGCGGATCCGGAGCTGCTCTTTGGCAGCTCCGCTACCAATGTGAAAAACACGGGGAACAAGAAAGGAGGAAAACCAAGTTCACCGTCACTGCGGAACGCTCTAAGTTTCCGTCTGCTGCAAAGGGGACCTTTTCTTTCAAGGCTCATGTACGAGCAGCCACGTCATGTGGCCCAAGCGCGCTTGAGGAAGCGGCGCATGAACGAGTGCGAACCGAGCGCAGTCATCATCGAATGACATGAACTCACATCTATTGCTTCAAATTCACAATATGTATATATATAACTATATTTTCACAGTATACTCATGCTTGGCTGAGGCCTCTTCCAAGCCTGCTCTAAGACGAACAATGACAGCGGAGCCTTGGCAGATCTTGGTAGATTCGGACTTCCCCCCAACTGGCTAGAATGGGAAGCCACTAGTGTTCATTTTGCTTGTGCAATGCTTGTTCCCGTTTATGAACATTTGTTCCCGTTCTAGTCTATATACCCATTTCAGGCTTGTCCAATAAGATATTCAAGGTCAAATGAAGTAAGACCAACTGCCATAAACGTGTGGCGGTGCAGGTCTCTTGCATTGGTCCACCCATTGTGCCGGCCAAGGTGGGCACTCCAGACTACGTTGCTCCTGAGGTGTGTTTAGTTCGCAGTTTCAATTCTCTTTTGGAGAAGAGTTTGTACTGCCCAGCATGTCAAGCCCTTTGTCGGGAATGCTCGGTTCGGGATTTGCAACAGTGCCATACTATTGGACTCTTCTAAACTTTTCAGCAATAGCAATAGGTCTTGCTCGGGAAGTACGACGAGCGTGTGGACTATTGGAGCTTTGGAGTGATTCTGTATGCTATACTGCCTCCTAGTAGCACCATGGTCTTGTCTTCCATTGCCAGAGTTCTTGTGGACTGCCCTTTGCAATCACAGGTTTGTGAGCGGTCGCAAGCGCTTTGCAAGGTGTGGCCGAATGCCTTTCTTTGTGAGTTGCCTGAGCCCAGACGAGCACAAGGAGAGTGGAAAGTGATGGAATTGTTGATTCGTTGACCAGGCAAGGGGGAAGTTGATAATGTATTTTTCTTTGTTTTGAGGGGGTAGGCCATGAGTAGAGGCAGAGGTAGCTAGGCCAGTAGAAGCTAGGTAGCTAGTACGCGCAAGTAGCTATATACTACTTCGGACGCAGGATAGCTCGCACTTCTTCAAGGAAGCTCCCCCAGCCGCCCTAAAGGCGGTGGGGGAAGCTTCCTTGAAGAAGCGCTCGCACTAATGATTTGGTTCCTAGATTTTTTTGGGAAACTTAAGGTTGCATCGTTTCACATTCATTTGCAGGAGCAAGTATCTCAAGTGAACAGCTGTCCTTCATGGAAGCCTGTGTCTCGAGAGGGGCGGAACTTTGTGCAAGGGCTTCTGACTGTGGATCCAGAGTTGAGGCAGATTTCCAGACGGAGAGCGTGTAGGGGTGTTTATATTAGTGTCAGGCTGTCAGTCATGTTTCCTTTATATTATGGCCTGGCAACAGCAGGACATCTCCAAATAAACCAGTTTGTTGTGTTGCCTTTCCTGCTTTTGCCAGGATGGACTTCTCGCAGTGCAGCGAACACCCCTGGCTCGTTGGTGCAGTGTCTTCAACCTGCGCCCTGCTGCCACCAGAATCGCCAAAAACTGCAATCAAGGTTGATTCGTATGCAGGCAGCATTTTTTTGTGAATATTTTCGGAGTATGTTCCGTTTCCATGTTCATTGCAGTCCACCGCAAAATAGTGTCAGAGAGCTTGCTGAAATCGGGATGCCTCGGGTTTGAGGAATTTCACAAACCAACATAAATTAAGAAGGACCCTAGCTACAGTACAACTGCGTAGTTGTGATATGTTCAAGCGGAGGTAGCAAATGGCACTACAAATCCAAGTGACTCCAGCAGTTATTTGGATGTTTCTACAATTTGTGAACCCATCCCTTCGCTCAGACGTGGTATATATATATATATTACTATATAGTTATTCAAATATTGTCACATGCTCTTCTGTTGTGCTTCTTCTTTAGATGCCAATTAGATGGGAGAAGGTGCAGAAGTTAAAACTTGCTGCACGGAGCGCATGCAGGTGTGGTGGAGAGCATTGTGGGGCGAACAGGTGAAGGCGTCCACTCCGTGGAGCTTTGGCAACGAAGCGGCAAAGTGTTTCACCACGGCGACGGTGGAGCGATTCAGACGGTCTTTCAGGTGGAATCAGTGGAATCACATTTCTTAATCTCAAGAACTTGGGGAGGAGAGTTCGCATGTGAGTTGGAAAAGCTTCTTGTTTGTACAGGGATGCTGATCAAAGCCTGTGCACGATGAGAGAGGGAGGGTAGACACAAAATGGATAATGATATAGTCATGGATTCGGCAATCCACAGGTGGATCCCGATGAACTCTTGATGGCCGTGATGCAGGACCATCATCACCTACGAGTTTTGCGATGCCGTGTCGTACGCATTTCTTTATACACATTGTTTTTCTCTTTATAGCTTAGTCCCTTACTTAAGTAACTACATTTTGCAGCATCAAAAATTATCCCGGCAAGAGACCCCAAACAGTGTAGAGTGTATATCAAACGGACTTTGGTGTCAAGGGATGTGCGCAGGGGAGGTGGAAGTAGAGAGAGCAGCACCCGCGAGCACGAAGTAGTAGGAAGTAGAAGGTGAGGCTTGAACCCCGATAGAGTAGGAGGAAGTGGTAGGAGGAGGAGGAGGAAGGAGGAGAAAGCAGCAAAGCAAACACACGACGGCAGGACAGCGTCGACATAGAAACCCACCCTCCTTTTTGTCTCGCGTCGCTGTGTGGAAGAACTTGGCGGGCGTTTCCGCGATCACCAGCGGCGTTCCCGCAATCATCATTCTCGCAAGCGGCGTTCCCGTGCGCGGTACTCTGTGTAAAGCTGGTGGGCGTCGAAGCTGTCTGTGTATCCATTATAGACCAGTTGCACCTACCACAGGCGGAGCCGCGCTGGAACTCGATACCGATATTGCCTCTGCACAGGCGGAACCGCGCTGGAAACTGATGCGGACATTGCATCTCCCACAGGCGGAGCCGCGCTGGAACTCGACGCGCGCGGTACTCTGTGTAAAGCTGGTGTCACTGCAATGGATGTCTGTGAGTACGTCGAAGCACGTTGTCCCGGAATACGACCAATTTCGATCAATACCATCACCAGTTCAACGTCTGCAGACACTCCAGAGCAAATTGTTGCGTCTGCTTTTCTTTCTCTTGAAAGAGCTGCTGAAAGCGAGCAGGCAAGGTATCCGGTCTACATGACAGAAGACGAGGGACTCTACAGCGCAGATTTCGTGGCAGGCGCAGCACTTCTCACTCTCGCAGGCACTTTAGTGAAAATGAGAACGCGTGTGAATGAGAGTGAGCGCGGGCGTTGTGAGTGTAAGTGAGTGAGAGCGAGAGAGTCAGAGTGAGAGTGAGAGTGGACATAGCCAGCGTAAGAAGACAGAGGTCTAGATATCGTGGGCATTATGAGTATGAGTGAGAGCGAGAGAGTCAGAGTGAGAGTGAGTGTGGGCGTAATCAGCGTCAGAAGACAGAGGTCAAATCTCAGGAAACCGGTTTAGAGAGCACACATATGAGAACAACTATCGTTTCAGAGGTCTACAGACAGTCCAAAGAGCACACATCTGAAAGCGCAGACCAAGTGAAGCGAGATAGAGTTTCAGAGGTATACAGAAGTCTAAAGAGCACACATCTGAGAGCGCAGATCAAGTGAAGCGAGAGTGAGAAGTGCTGCGCCTGCTACGAAATCTGCATGACGAGGTTCACAAAGTGCTGTGCCTGCCATGAAACCTGCACTTCGAGGTTCACCAAGTGCTGTGCGTGCCACGAAATCTGCACTTCGAGGTTCACCATGTACCTGCCACAAAATCTGCACTTCGAGGTTCACCAAGTGCTGCGCCTGCTACGAAAAATCTGCGCTTTCAAAGTGCTGCGCCTGCCACAAAATCTGCGCATCAAGGGTCACAGAGTGCTGCGCTTGCCACGAAATCTGCAAACGAGCCACGTGTCCAAACTTCACGATTCAGTGCACCTGTCACGAAATCTGAGCTCCTCAACGATCGCCAGCATGTCCAAAGTGCTGCGCCTGCCGCGAAAACTGCATTTCGAAGCAAAACAGCTCCGATTTTTTGCACCTGTCACGAACTTAAAGTCAACTTTGGAGCACCAAAACACAGGGTTTCCCTTGCGCCAGCCACGAAAAGTGACCGCCGTTTGCGAAAATGCGCACGGGGCCACAACGAGAGCGCAGTCGCTAGAAGCGCCCGCCTCGCCCACGCAGATTTCGCGAGCCTACGCAGACGAAATGCATGTGGACGATTTCAAGAGGTATGAATGTACTGTAAATAGCAGCGAATCAGCCAGACACCCCCGCGCGCTTCAGCGATCTAAGCAGCAGCTGCTTTTCAACTACCGTAAGAACCCTCATAGTGTGTCCACACTGTCTGGGGAAAAATGAAGAAGGAAGGACGGAAGGAAGGAAGGCAGGCAGGAAGGAAGGAATAGGAAGGAAAGAAGGAAGAAAGGACGGAAGGAAGGAAGAAAGGAAGGATCATTGGGGTTATCCGGCCCTATCGCTCTCACTCTCACTCACACTCACACTGACACTCACTCTCACTCACACTCACTCTTCACTCTCGCTCTCACTCACAGTGCGAGCGCGAGTGTGAGTGAGAGTGAGAGTGAGTGTGGGTGAGTGAGTGTGCGTGTGAGTGAGTGGGTGTGAGTGTGAGGAGTGTGAGGAGTGTGAGTGAGTGTGTGTGTGTGCTCTATCCGCTCCTTCTCCTTTGTCTCCGTCTTGTCTCCCTTCTTTTTCCCCACATCTTAGCGTGGGGTTCTTCTTTTCTATGTCTCATCCGCCTCCCGCCGCCCGCTTCCCGCCGCCTCCCTCCACACCGAGACAACAACACACACAGAGACAACGCACACAGAGATCACACACACGACCACACACCGAGACAACACACACACAGAGAGGCCCGTCCCTCCATTGTGATTAGAGTATTCACTTGTTTGTTGACGCGCAGAAATCGTGGCAGGCGCAGCACTTTGTGAACCTCCACGTGCAGAATTCGTGGCAGACGCAGCGCTTTGTGACAACACACATCGAGACGTCGCCAGAATTCGTGGCGGGCGCAGCGCTTTGTGAACCTCCATGCGCAGATTTCGTGGCAGGCGCAGCGCTTTGTGAACCTCCATGTGCAGATTTCGTGGCAGGTGCAGCGCTTTGTGAAGCTCGAGGTGCAGATTTCGTGGCAGGCACAGCATGCGCAGTTTGTGAACCTCCATGCGCAATTTCGTGGCAGGCACAGCACTTTGTGAACCTCCATGTGCAGATTTCGTGGCAGGCACAGCGGTTTGTGAACCTCCATGTGTAGATTTCCTGGCAGGCGCAGCGCTCATCTCACACCACTCATCTTGCACCACTCTTCTCACACCACTCATCTTGCACCACTCATCAC